TTTTTAACATAGAAACGGGCAAGGTAGCTCCGCCCATCCACGTGGGTGGTCTGAAGATACCAAGTCCAAAATTCAGCTTTGATGTGCAAATCACCCCATTACGATTACAAATTTTTCGACATTCACGCCTATCTCGAAGCCATTTTCTAATTCATTACCTTCAGACCATCCGCGTTGATGGGCGAAGCCTTCTTGGCGGTTTCTACCCATTAGAACAATTTTCTTCGGAATTCTTTTCCAGCGGAACTTGGGCGATCACTTAGTCAGGGGCTCCGCGATTTTACAGCAACAAAATCTCAGCATCTCTGATTTGGGGGTGCCTTTAAGGTATACCCTGGTCGTTTTGTACCTTAGTATGTGAATGCACCCACCACATTGCGCCTACGTATCCATCCTGGATGTGTTTGCCGTTTTGCATTCAAATTCAGGACATTCCTCAATAAATACTTCACTGATGCATGAAATGAAAAACTTTGGAGAGACGCTGAAAAGCAATTCCAGTGGAAAAGTTCGTGATGGTCAGCGGCATGGATGGTCGGTTAAGATATAAAATGTAGATGAATAGATGTATAGATATTAAATAATTTAGTAGGCAATAAATGAGTAAATAAATAAATAAATAATTATTTTTCATCCATCATGCAGGACTATGAGACAACATGACAGAATTTTATAAAAGCTCAGTTCTTTGACTTTCTAGATGTAGAGATGAGTGTCTTGGTGTTTGGATTCAAATTCACAGCAAGAATTGATAAGAATGATGTACTATGTCTAAGTTGTTTGATCAAATCAAAATTTCCTCATATCTGCGCACAATGAAAAAACTAGGGTATTTGATTCATTGCTCCTTCACTCTACTGGAAAATAAAATTCTTCTAAACAAAATATCTACATCACAATTCTCATTGTAGTGCTTTTTCTAAAGATACCAAGATATCAATACTAGAATATCCTTGTCTGCGTTTATAATAGCCGCAAAAGCCACCGAAATTATTTATTAGCCAGACTAATATTGAGATACAAAACGACTCGAATGTATGAAATGGAGAGCAGAAGGTGTAAGACTACATTGGAGTCTTTATGTGATTGACCAAGGTTCTTTCACGCATCATAAATTATCACTGTGGAACGTAAAATCATCGTCTGGCCATTGTGTGTTATCTACGGAAGAATGGATGGTAACTCCCAGCTGTTACTTCAGTTGCATGCCTATTTATTACACTCACATGTGGCAACAAACAAGGGGAAACTACCCATTGATACTTTCCTTCATTCCTGGTATCTTGTTTCACATTTCATAGGGTTGTAATTAGAAGTGCAAAACCATTAGGAACAGTCCAGTGAAACTTCTGTTGAACTTCATTATCAGCTCGTCATGTGTCAACCTTCAATGCTATTTTTGGAGCAGAGGTTCACGTTGTAATTTGACCCTTTTGATAAGACGAAGGAAAATGAAGATTGGACTGTCCAGCGTCAAAGCTGTACAATCGTGGAATGAAATAAGCGGAAAATAATTGGAGGAATATTGATATATTGAAATTTGCCTTAGGTTTTCTTACTATCACGAGAAAGATGAGATATTAAGGATTAAGCGTAAGCAGCGAAAAGAATTCGCTTAATTTTCTTGTTTCGTGCTCCTCCCAGATTCAATATCTAACAATCAAAATTTTTTTTGCAAGGCCAGATTTCGATGCGAAACTCCTGAGCAATCTTTGAGCCCAAATGTGATTTATGTACAAAGTCCCTGGAGCATTCGGATAAGTTCTCTTACACACTGGTGCAAGCGCTGAGAGGATTTTCATGTTTTAGATTTGATGAACTTCAAAATGAAAAAAATGTCCCATATTTCACTTCCGTGTCTCGTCAACAAAGGGTGCACAAGGTGTGTTCTGATAAGCGACGCCAAGACTAACACAAAGACCAGGACAAAATTCTTCATTAAAATATGACCGCATACTAATCCAGGTGTTTTATGGACAGTGAACATAGAGAAAGCATGTTGTGTTGTTGCGTCTATGAAGTAAAACTTTTATTCTCGAAAGTGCAGTGCATGCAAAGTGCAGTAAACGCTCTGAACGAAAACCTTTGATTTATATGCTTGCTAGGATAGTATGTCTCTTATATTCAGCTATACGAGTATCCACATGACGTAGGCAATCTAATTCAATTTCACCAATATGTCTTGAGTCTCGTCGATTGATCACGGATGTAATTGATTATGGGTGGAACTAGGAAAACACACTGTGTCGGAAAATGCACCATTTTCTGTCAACAAAATCAACAAGCTGTTTTGCCTTTTCGAAGGAAGTAACAAAATGATCAAATTTAAGAATACCGCATAGTTGATTTCATGCAATGATCACGTTATGAGAATGTCACTGGATGCGAGTACTATACGGTCTGACATCAACACAAAACTTCTGTCCCTCCTTGGTTCTAAATATATCGACTATTTTTGTATTGAGACAGTCACGCTTTTTTGAACACCTTTAGGTTTGTGATGACTTGTAAGATTCAACTTGACAAGAAAATCAAAGTTTTGCAATCTTCCAATTGGTTGCAATGTGCCAATAAGCAATAGAATTTGCAACCAGCGCACGATTCTACCCATACTTTCATTAGGGAAACAAGTTAGCCATCAAGTATTTTTACATAAATTGAAATTCGAGAGAATAATGAGATGTTAAAAATTTTGTCTTCGAATGAGTCTTTGTGGAAGCTTTCACTCGGCAAAACTTCTCTCAGATGTAAAGAATATGACTTGAGATGTATATAGCTACAATGCAAAGTTCTTTTGCTGTAGCCAGTTTTTGCCTTAGGCACAACTAGAAGGCATTTTCGTTCTGACTGAAAAAATCTAAGCCGAGCAATTTATATTCACATTTCCGGCCTGATAGTTTCTTTTTGTGTTGTTCTTCACTTTGGTTCATCAACAACGCATGAAAGATTTGCAACAAAACGGAGAGCGATTTTTGATACAGAACGAAACGTTACGCACAACCATCAGAATTGCAACAACCCTGATTCAAAAGCTGTGGGGGCCAGAATAAGATGCACAGACGTCCTTGTATCTTAACTCTGCAAATTCTCCAAAAAAAATCCGGATCAAAAAATGTCTACGTCCTTGGTTGCACCTATCGGGTTTTTCATCCAATCGCGACTTTCTGAGCGAGTAGATGACCTTTTACATAACAATTTGTTCCAAACAAGCAGCTTATTCCTATATCTAACTGCCTTATATTGCAAGTCATGTCTTGCATAGGAACCCTGCTATGACTCCGCAATGAGCGCAAAATTTTTTAAACAGATTGGAAGAGTTCAAGGTTGTTGACATTTCATATGTAGACATTATCAGATGAGCTGACATCATACAGATTTTATGATCGAGTTTCCACAGACACTATCCTTTGCCTTCAAAAAATAGCTTCCTGAAAATGTTTCGACAAAAATTCACGCCTCTAGCATCGAAGCTCAGGTGTAACACTATAACACTACCAGTGGCGTACCGAGGGGGGGGGGGGGCGGGGGGGCGCGCGCCCCCCCCCCCCCCCGAGAACGGGTCGCGAAATTTTCGAAAGTTACTTACATGAGTTATAAAAATGTGCAAATGACTTGTTTATTTTTGTAAACAATTATAATAATTTTTAAAATTATTTAAAAATTCAAATTAGCCTTATAAAGAAAAATTTTTCGGAGTGCGTGGCTAACGCCACGCACCTTCATTCAAAAATTTTTTTTGTCGCGCCCCCCCCCCCCCGAGCCGAAATCCTGGGTACGCCACTGAACACTACCTATAACACTTGAGATTTAAAAAAAAATGCATTTAGAAATAGAGCGTTTTATGGTAGTCGACCAGGATTATTTTCTCAAGCCAAACAACAAAGAAGAGCATCGTTAGTTCAAGGTTAATAGATCACATGAGTAGGCACCAGACGAAAGCGAGTGCCTGTCAAATAAACTTCAATTTGCGTACTCTATCCAATTATGAGTAGTTTTATAGCTCTTTTCGTGGCTCGCTTAGCAAAAAGAGCGCTAGATTTCGCCCTAAAAAGCATGCCCGTTTAAGATAATCACATGCGAGCTTAACGCACAAACACCGGGACCATTAGGCACTCCAGCCAAAAATGGTACGACAAACTTGGAATGCACACATACCGATTTACCAGCGGCGCACCGAAATTTTTTTAGGGAAATCGAGGAGCTGAATTTTTCCGAATAATGGAAAGTAGCTTCCACCGAGTTCCTCATGAGGCTTGACTCTAATTTTTCACCTGTGGCTCAATTTCAAAAAAAGAGGTAATACTGTAGCATGTCTACAACCATGATAGCAGTCAGTTGACATGCGAATATTTGCACATTTGATATTACCGGATAGAGTTTCCAAGTACGGCCAGATGGTAAACGTTTTTCGGCTGAAAACAATCTTTGATGACAGAATGGTCCACAACAAGTATCCAAAAGCATAGCATTGAAATATGCATCGGAGTTGCATGTAAAAGATAGTGGTTTCAAAAATTCCGTGATTCCCAATTTTCGAAACGCTTTGACTTATTAGATAAATTTAGCGATTGACTGTTCCATAAGAAGACCAGCATGCTCGTCCATGCATGAAATTAATTGTTGAAAAGGCTAAACGTGATTTTGCGAAAAATTGCCTAGAATGGATAAGGTTGTGCTTTATCACTGATAAAGTTCCGAACTGACATATAATAGTAAAGACTTGAAACTGCTCTTTCGTAAATGCTTAGGTAAATTATATCTATTTAGACGTTTGATGATACTAATGAGATTTTTTTTAGATGACCTGATAAGGTTAACTAGGTATAAAGAGTCGGTCAGTTAGTTTCCCTTCAACATTAGAACAGTCGAAAATGTACACTTGTGATAGAAAGCCGAAGAAAGGGTGATTTTATAAAACCTCGTATGATGATATCAAAAAAAAAACGCAAGCAAATAAACAGTCGAAAGGAACTACGCAGACATGATAAGAGAATGGAAGATGAGGAAAGGAGTGAGGAATGAAATATAACAAGATGCAGCAACACATATAAACAATGAATGAAAAAAGATGAGCCATGCATGAGTACGACAGTATTTGCAAACACAAGTTAAAAAATCAACAATACCATATCGAGATTTAAATTAGACTGTAACGATCAAACCCTCACCCGTAATGCAGGAATAACACTGATGCAGCGAGTCAATAATAGTATAACAAAAACCTCGGCAACAATGATTTGGCGTCAATGATGCGTTGTTGTGCCAATAGGGAAGGACACATTTTCGTACATGTACAGCATGCACATATCAACGGCTGCTACCACCGATGTACCTTCGATGGCGAATCCATTCACAGAGCCGAACGATGGAGAACGCAGTGTATCCAATTCGACATTTTGACTCAACAGATCTGATAGCCAAGGAGATTGGCGCATTCCAGCCGATGGGCAATTTCTGACAATGTTCCATTATTATGTGTGCTCTATTTGTGGTAATAAAACTGTGCAAGCTCAAAATTAACTATTGGAGAAAGCCAAATGGTTTACTCGTCATTAAACATAGAGGCTCAAAACTGCATATTTGTTCGACATTTAATAATGACTTGCCCCACAGTTTTTGCACTTTCCTAAACATCACCAAACCAAGAAGAAAAAAAAACAGGAAAGTCCGTATAAGCTTAGTGTAGGCCACCATCAACTCCTTCTTTCGCTTCCGCCGCAGGCAGAGATTCAGAAAGATGAGCGATAAAGAGAACACCATCTTATTTTGACGTAATCTATGACATCTAATTGGATCCAACTTTGAACCACCAGATAAGTTGCTAGTTCAAGGGTACAGAATCAAAGACAATAGTTAAAGCGCATACACTCTGTATAGTGCGGGACCTACGCAAGTGTAGGTAGGCATCTAATATTACAGCCGTGAAGCGTAGCAGGATAACTGTACGGTCAATTTCATGATTCAAAACTTTCAGATCAACTGTAAAATGCACCGGGATTTAGAATTCAAAACTTTACACTATTGAAACTATGCTTTGGGAAAAGAATGAAAGCCAAAACAAGCAGAACAGCTCGAGGAAACGTGCTAAAATAAAAAGAAATGAAACTTACACGTTCACAGATGAAACATCCCAATGGACGAGACTCCCATCAGCAGATGCACAAACGAAGTGATCGCCACATTGCGAATGGAACTCAACCTAATATAGACAATCAATCAAAATTTCAAGAGGGCAAGAAATGAACCTGCGTGATGGTGGAAGTAGCTACATCAAATGTATTCGGCATCAGGTCATGACCCGCTCCTCGAATGTCGGCGAAGCCAACCGTGCCGAGATCTGTGCCAAAGGAGATCTAAACGAAATCATAGATTTACACAACAGAACGCAAATAAGTCGAAGCTTTCCGATTCAGATCAAATATAAAATGTATGTATGTGTAGAACGAGATCTGTGGTCGTACTCATCAACGAGCCCAGTGGGTAAATCAGCGCCACTGGTTTGTATGGATATACACAAAGTTGCTGCAAGTTCGCGAACCACTTGTTTTGTGAATACCGTGGGTTAACCCTACCCACTAGTAAGCGGTACCCACTGGGTTTCGTTGATGAATACAGCCACTGAAGCAGTAATTCGCTCTTTAGGATTGAGCATTTAGATACGAAAAAAAATCGACAAATGACGATGGGAAAAACAACAAGCGTTGATGCACCGTTTGAGAGTTCATCAAAGGGATGATAGAGTAGAAACTTTTTGCCTCCATTTTTAATAGAAGGAAAACGTATACTCACGAAACATCACAAGAAACACTCACCAAGCTTGCCAGTGCTGGATGGTTGGCTAATGTGGTGACAGCGTCAAGCCTTCTTTTAGAGGGTACACACACTACCACTGGCTTGTTGAACGACTGCAGTCGACAGTCCCATACCAAAATTTGGCCGGCAGAATGACCAGATGCCAAAAGAGTACCTCCCGCCAAGGTCGTGACTGATCGTACTCCAGAATTACCCTGAAAAAGGCATCGACACTCGGGAAACATTAATTCACTTTCCGACTTCTGAGGCCTCCTAGTCGGTGTGGCTGAGTAAGCTTCATTATCACTACCTAATAAAGCAGGAAAAGAGAAATATCAATATCTGTACACTTACCTTAGATAGTGAGCTAACTGTCCCTGTCTCAATGTCAACCTTTGCAAGAGAGCCGTTTGATGACCCGCTGAAACATTGAAGCTAATATGGAAGGCATTTGCCAAGTAATATTTACCTGATGATGCTATGACTGTCGAATTCTGTAAGCACACGAGAATCCCCTTTCCCGTGCACATTCTCGATTGTTTTTAGCTTAAAACAGTTGATCGGCAATCTAATGACGTGCGTTGATAAAAAATTACCTTTGTCAAGTTATCGTCTGTGTTGTTGAGTACCAATAAACTTCCGTTATTGAACGAGACACAAGTCACTGGTGGTGTGCAACTGCTGAAAAAAATTTTTTGCAAGAGAGCAAAGGAGGCGGCAAGGCCGCAAACTCCTTATACAAAACAATGGATCATGAAAGAGGCTCATTTTAAAATGATAAGCACATACCAATATTGATATTATATCTTGATGATGATGTAAGAGCTTGACTCTATAGACTCCGATACTGGCAAAAAAAAAAGAAAATCTAAGGATGGATGGCCGTGATAGAGCAGCGAATGACATGATACCAATGCAAAAATGTCGGAGATAAAGATGGGACTAGATAATATTAGGTTGTCCCGAAAGCTTAGTCGGTTTTTTCATCGATCACTAAAATCATAGAACTCCAATCGATGGATGACTTAGGTACCATTCGAATCAGATTTTTATCCTCTTTCTTATAGCTATATTTGTCCCCTGATCTATGGTGTCTTTGTGATGTTATCGCCATGGCTATTCTAGCAGCTTAATAGTAACGTCAGATCTTCCCTGAATTTTGAAAAATCTTGTTTTGATATTTTCAAAAAGGGCAGTTACTGTTGTGTAGAGCAAACCTTGGCTACCTTACATTCATTTTAGATTACATAGGTCACGTATATCACCTCTGTAATAATTATTTACTTGAGAAAAACCGCGATTCTTTGATCACATTCAGCACATAAGAGTTCCAAAAATTCTAGAAGCTCACTTTTTGAAACAAGTCAAACTTGATTACGTTGCACAAATAATGTTCGATAAGTTCCAACTCGCAGAACCTTTGAAAGCTTTGATGTTTGCTGCAGTTGGGTTTTTCGTGACTTTACAAAAATCTCCAAAGAAATATTTGAAAAAAAAAACACACACATACAAATCATGAGAATCTAGAAAAATTACCGCATAGTCCGAGATTAGATCTACTTGTGCTACTTGGCCCTTTCCAAACCTCTGGAATATAAGTTTTCAGAAACTGGCTGGACTTTAAGTAGTGAGAAATGACGGAGAAGATTGGCAGTCATCACAAAACGCATAGAGGATACGGTTCGAAAATGTAATCATTACAAAGGGGGAGAAAAACCGCATCGGATGCATGTTAAAACACATTTAGGCTTCATGATGTGGTTTTTATAGTCGTTTGAAAGAAATTGATAAACTCGGGACAACCTAGTACATTCGTCCAGCAGTGCTTAAATGTTGCAAGAATAAGGCTGTTGGTTTGCTGTATATTCATCAAATGCTACCACTGAATAACCATCCCCACCTTTTCGTCGATTTCAATGAATTCAGAACAATCATAGGAAACATTTTGTACGTAACAACGTACATACCATAAATCGAACGGATCCACATCCAGTGGTAATCTGCAAAGTTCCTCAAAGGGTTCCGCAACATCATCGTCGCTCTCATTTGGCTTCCACAGAGAAGCACATCGTCCATCGGAGTATCCAAGCCAGAGCAGGCGGCCACCATATGGGAGAAAACGGACCTCAAACACTCATTTGTAGTATGCAAGGTTTTGCAAGATCGTCCGTAGGTAAAATGGAATTTTCTTCGTCAAGCAAAAGCGGATCTTCTTACAAGTTATTAGCAGTAAAAACGATGCTTACCTTTCGGAGTTTTGCGAATGTCTGCTGCGAATAATCCTTGCGCTCCTTAGCCGCTTCAGATTTATTCGTTGGCACAGCAGTGACAGGCGACGTCAATTCAGAACCAACCCGTCGACTGACAGCCGTAGCCATTAATCTTGAAGAAGCGAACGATTGAAGATGAACTACAGATTATCTACGTTCAAATGAGACAAGTGACGCGCCACAATTATGAGTGAGACAGAACTTTTGTTTGTAGCGCATTATCGAGGCGACCGGATAGTGCAGCATTTTCCGCAAAGGCTTCAAAACTAGGCGCGAAACATGAGGGTCATACTTAGGGTGCCTTCATACCGCGCTAGCAGCCAGAAGGCCTGTGTTTGAATAATTCGTACATTCGATGGTTTGGAAAAATGAGTTATTCGAATATTCGTTTATTCGAGGAATTTTAAAAGACAGTTATTCGAATATTCGAATATTCGAGCCAACTTGATAGACATTATTCGAATATTCGAATATTTAAGAACATTCATTCGAACATTCCATGTCAAAAGAAAACTTCAGCTGTTCTACACTGAGTACAAGTATGTCCCCGATCGGTCAATCACATGAATGAATTATCATATGACAGAATGACTAGCAAGCTTCTTTTTTAAGGCATAGGTCGCGAATCATGCTACAGCATAGTGATGACAAGTCTTATGCATAATTTATTTGGATGGTCAACTATCTTTTGAAGGTCCCTTACAACAAAATTGCAAACCTCAAAATTACCACTAAAACAACTTTGTGAGAATTCAATCCTACAGCAGAAAATGTGAAATTAGTGATTGATATATAATTCCCAAGTATTAGATTATCAGCTAATATACAGATATTTCCATGAGTTTTCTTTTTCTGGATTTAGATGAGCGCAGAAGCATTTCGTTGTCCCGAAAGTTTTGTCCGTTTTTTCATCGCTCACGAGAACTCACAGAACACCAATCCATGGACAACTTAGGTACGATATGATACTCGTACCTATAGTTACAAATGGCTGCGAAGAGCGCGCCCCATGACCCAATGCAAATTTGACCGGCGCGCAGGGCGTTTGCTGTCGGAGCGTGCAATTCAAACACATGTCTATTATTTGAGCTATATAGGCTAATCAGTGAAGATCCTGATCGATGACAGCTTATCAGTGTCATGGACCGGGGTGGTGCTGTGGATTTCATTGAGCCAGCGGCAATAAGTTGACGATGAAAGGGTAGGGACTGTACATGATTGATCCTTTTCTGGAACTTTTGCATGAGTTTTTTTGTAGGACCTTTTTCAAATAGCAATTCTGTGCAGCATGACTCCGTTTTTGATGCTAAAGAATGGAAGGCTGTGTATAGACCCCTTCCCTCAGTTTTTACCTTTGCTTCGGTTTTGAAGACAAGTGTGGTTACTTCGTTGCGCACTCACAATGAGCAAGTTTGGGATCTACTCGCGTTTCTTGTATTGAATGGAAAGTATCTGTTTGCTCTGAGATGATCTAAACCAACCATGAAAGGTGGACTCTTTGTTGAACAATCCAGACTTTCTTTTCATCTGTCAGAAAAATGAAGGTCAAAGAGGCCGAGTTTACACCATCAAAAATTGCGAAAAAAGTGCTTTTGATTCATTGACAAGAAGAAATTTTTGGTTATGATATCATGGCAAGCAGTTTTATCTTCAGTGCGTCGCAATAGCTAGCTAAGGAGTGCGCTCAGCTGAGGAGTAAAGGGCAGTAAAGCAAGAAGTCTCTGAACCACATAGATACTTCTCATAGACCGTACTTATGCTCTTGCACACACCCCATCTGTGAGATGATGAACGAAGACCAGGTAACGAAAATCGACAGACAGGTAGTATGTTGGATAGCCTGATAACGTCCTACCTAAGCTGGTATCTACGTAAGCCTATCACCTAAGCTGCCGAAACTAACGTACACAGTGGTTTTCACGAACAGTTAAGCTATCGAAATCTATCTGTACTCAATGCTCACCTGCAAGCTACTACCCCCTCTGAGGATAAAAAACTCGAAAACGCTCTGTATCTACAAGTTGTCTAAACATGCTCGAATTCGTGTTATCCAAGAATTAAGTGAATAAAAATGAAAGATGTCGCAAGTGCTTGTTAACTGAAAGCGTTTTTGAGTCTCCTAGTCTTAGAATAAATGATATTTACTTCTTAACACTTGGATCTGTAGCGTTTTGCTTCTTATGGCTGCCGTAGACGGCGCCTCCTCGTTTAAACACAGACAAATTACTACTATCGTATCCGCTAAGTATTTAGGGGACCACCTTGATGAATAATAATCTTATTGGCAGGATAGATCAGCGCGCTTTGACAACTGCACTTCTTTTTGTGATCCTTCTGCAGAAAAGAGTCGTTCTTTCTTCAGTGTCGCTTGTTTTGCGCTGAAGGTTATAGGGTGCGCGCGCTTAATCGCTGAGGTTCCTGCAGGGAACCGAGATTTGCACTGGGACATGGGGCGCGCTCTTCGCAGCCATTTGTAACTATAGGTACGAGTCGATATGATGCATATTTTCATCTTCTTTCTTACAGCTGCATTTGCTCTCTGATGTACTCTGTCTTTCCAATGTTTTCGCCTTCTGAGCAGCTCAGAAGTAACGCCAAATCATTCTACAATAAAGAATGGCAAGGGTTTGCACTTACATGTTGACAAGTTACGGAATGAGGCGAGTGCTTGCCGTTTTGTCAACAAGGCTAGCGTGTTTTCGTAAGGGTAAGCATCGCCCCTCATCGAGGACTGTTTAGACAAGGGTGCAGCTACCAAGTGCAAAAAGGCACTGATTTATAGAGTGCACAAGGCACGTCCTACCTACAAAATTAGCCGTGGACGTTAATTCGACCGCAGAAACATGCGAAATTACGTCCGATCATTGCATTTGACGTGGGGAAATGTATTGCTTCATGATTTTGTGGTTTCTCTCTACTTCTTTTGATTCGTGCGCATCATTGCGCTCAATTGCTGTTTATTCTGAATAGAGTGAAAGTGTCGCAAAGCACGATTCTTTGGGATGTGACCGTATTCTACGTCTTCCCCGACGCGAGTCTCGCGAATGAGGATCATCAGGGTAGCGAGTCCATTGGTCGCGACATTTTTCGGGCTATCGAGCTCAGAAAAAGAAACAGTGTGTTCTACTCGGGAATGGTAGTATTTCTTGTTGAGTAGATGAATAATTTGAGGTTATCAGCTATGGTCTAATTTTATGTGAGTCATATAATAAGAAAAAAACTGCTATAAGTCTCCGATACCTACAACGAAATACTCCCTGCTTTCCTTCACCAAGCGGATGTAGACGGAAAACTGTGGAAATGAAAGAGCGTGGAAGACAACCATAGGTGCGAAGGGTTGAGATGAATCTCACCCTCCCTTCACTTTGGAGCCTGGGCTACCCCCCCCCCCTTCACTTTGGACGGAGGAAAAAAAATTTTTGAGGTGAGATGATAGTGTGCTTGAAGTGGAGTAGAATCTAAGGTAAAACAATTTATTTACAGAGTGTAGGGAACGAGAACGCGGGAAACGAAGCAAAAATGGGGCCGGACCCCCCCCCCCTTCCCCCCTCACTGAGACGAAGCAGGTGCTGAGGTGAGAAAATACTTAGCTTAAAGTTGAGATATCGTATTTGAGAAATCCAATTTTAAGAATTTCATGGGACGAGCGGTAATGAGTCGGATGGAAGGGCGCATGGTCATGAAACGAATGGCCGGGCGTGTTGTACGAGACTCGGAAAAAGACATTTTGTGGTTGTACTCTGGCTATAAATCAAATAATTTGCCATTGTATTGTGTGTATAAGGATAAACGATGAATGGACATGTTGTACACAATCAAAGACATAGATAGTAAGTGAGGTTTGGTTGAGGCAGGTTTGAGTTGTGACTATACCCCCCTTCGAGCCAAAAAAATTCCATATCTCGGTAGGGGGGTCCTCTCATAATCTGATTTTTTTTTTATCTTGTCGAGAAGAGTGTACTGGATATAACTAGGGCTGTCGCAAAAGAATCTGCTGAAGCAGACCTTCTTGAGCTTGAATTTCACACAAAAATCTATGCGTCTTCAACTCGGTACTGTTGCTCTCCTTCCTTACAGCAGATCCTGTTTTGCGACAGCCCTACTTATATCAAGTAAACCTCCCTCTACAAGACGGTGAAAAGAGTAGATCACAAAAGGACCTCCCCGCTGAGATATGGACCGTCAAATAGAACCACCCAAAATCGATTTTTTTGCTATAACTCTTGTGTAAATTAACAAAAATGAACAAGGAGCTGGATTTAGAATCTACTCTTCAAGAGCTTTCGAATGATATATAATATGTGGGGGTCCCTTGTTTTTTTTTCGCCCTGCGACAGGGGTTGAGACGATTCATTTATGGCTTCTCAGCCCCGCCCACTTTAATGCATATGGAGGGGGGATAGACCTGAGATCGCATAACTGAATCGTCTCAACCCCTGTCGCAGAGCGAAAAAAACAAGGGACCCCCACATATTATATTAGGTTGAACACTAAGTTTTCAACTTGTTCATAACTTCACACTCATTCAACATGGCGCACTCAAACTTTGGCATCATGTAGAATGCAATGTGAGCTACAAGTGAGCATAAATTGTCTGAATTTTGAACACGAAATGGAAAAGTTTCAGGCTTTTTTTGGAAACTAGTGAAATTTGAGAATTGAGGTTTCAAGCTAAAATGAAGCCTTTGGCAGCCTAGACCATGCGCAGTAATCCGGATTCGTCTACTAATTATTGCAAGAGGTTGACTCCTTTGGCCTAGCAAGAAAGAAACAAAATTTATGGGCATGTCGAGAGGCGTCCTCATAAAGCGAACGAGTCGATGTACGCAAGAGCTGCTGGGGACGACCGTCAATGACTAAAGAGTCCGAAGCCCAAATTCCGCCGAGACTTCACATAGTAAGGTTATTTGACCTGCCGAATGCGAATATCATATTCATTTGTTGAATCAACGCCTTTTTCCTTGTTTAGGGTGAGACCCCATGACGTACATTTACAGTAGTCCTACAAAAAAGCCCTTATCACGCAATTTCACTATCGCTTTCGTGATCAGCATGTCGGATAACATCCCTATGCCAAGTTTCAGCCAAATCCGTCCGTTTGAATTTTTCCCCTTCATACCATACGCCTACCGTAACCCTCACTGCGACGTCAGAAT